TGCTTACTTTTTTAAAAAATAAAAAAATAAAAGAATATAAAACACTGAACACACCTGTTACACAAATGCTTCAGTTTGTTAACTATTTGTCCAGAGTTAAACATTTATTCATAACACGTTCACTCAATCCTCTCAACAAGTTTTGAGCTGAATATTATTAACCTGAGAGATAAGAAAATCTGAGGACTAAAAAAAAAAATCGTACAAAAATCAAAGCAAGAAGAGAGACGCTATCTCCACTTGTATAAACTATTTAAATACAAGGAAAACCTAGCAGCTAGTGAGAGCTGGAAAAGGAGGATCTGGACAACAGAAGACCGAGGGAGCAGACTGGAAGCGCCAAAGTCTGGACCCAGTCTCACTCTCTCCAGGGTCCCACCTTAGGGAGCCCGCAAACTGGCCTCTACTGGTGACCAGGGAACCTACCAGAAATGCAGACGCCTGAGGAGTCAGCACCGAGCACACACTTCAGCTCTTGCAGACTGATCCCCCACCCTGGGCATCTCACCGAGCAAGCCGCAAATGGCCCAGGCCAGTTGCACAGCCCTGGCCTAGAAGCGACAGCCAGACTCCTAAGCTAGTCTGCCAGCTTCCTCAATCCTAAATCCTGCAGTGCTGGAAGGGCGGAGCAGGCTGAGCTCCATCTTCCAAGCTGCTCTGGGGTTCACCCTACACTTTACCAACTTCCTCCGACTGCCCCTACACCCAGGCCCGCCGGGCCTCCCTTGCTTCTTCTCACCGTCCTTCATCTGGACAATATTGCTGGCGGCCACCCGATCGGAGGCGACGAGGACATAGTCGGGGCCCTGGATGCCGATGAGGTACTCCATGGTGGCGGGAAGCGTGAGGCAGCAGGGTCTACAGAGAGAAGTACTTCCCGGGTTCACGGCCTCACCAGTGAGACAGCACACCCGGACGAAGCGGTGTGTGACGCAAGCCGCGCGACCGCCCTGACTAGTGGCGCCGATCGATGACGTCAGCGCTCGCGAGAGCGTGGAGAGCCAGCGTGAGGTAGTTCAAGCGTCCTCTAATGCTGTAGCTGTGGGTTGTGCGGTGTTCGGTTTCCTTATCAACCAATTAGAATTTAAAATTTGTGCGAAGGTAAAACCACGCCCTGTGTGAGCACATGCCAGCACATGTGGGTGCTACAGAGGGGAAAGTCTTCAGGGTTCTGTTTCATTTCATTGCTGGATAAAGTAGCTGGACTCCCCCCCCCCCGCCCCCCCCCCGCGCGCAAGCCAGATTGGAGAAAAGTCATCTTGAACCCTGGAGTTAGGGACCAGCCGGGGAAATATAGGGGGAAAAACCTCAAAAGCAAAGCAAACAAAAACTACTTGGCGGTGGTTCACTCTTGAAATCGTAGTGCTGGGAGGGCTGAGGCAGGAGGAGACGTGCCAGTGAAGCCTGAAGACCAAAGTTCAATCCCTCCAACCCACAAAGAGACCTGACTCCTCAAAATCTTCCTCTGACCTTCAAACTTGCATGTCCCATGCCTGCTCACCCCCACAAATCAAATTCTAAGTATTTATTTTTTGTTGTTGCTGTTGTTGTTTTTCGAGACAAGGTTTCTCTGTATTGCTTTGGAGCCTCTCCTGGAACTCGCTCTGTAAACCATGCTGGCCTCGAACTCACAGAGATCTGCCTGCCCCTGCCTCCTGAGTGCCGGGATCAAAGGCATGCAGCACCAACTCCCAAGATCTGCCTAAGCCTGCCTCTGTCTCCCCTGTGCTGGAATTTAAGGCCTGGGCCACCATGCCCCACGTAAAAGAGTTTTTAAAGAGAAAGAATAAGATAGGAGAAGGAAGGACTAAGAGGCTCAGTGGTTAAGAGCATTGGCTGCTCTCCCGGAAGACCTGTGTTCAATTTCCAGCACCTACATGGCAACTCACAGACAGTAATCTGTAACTCAGACACCTCTCTGGCCTCCTCATGCACCGCACACACTTGGTACACACACATACATACAGACAAAAACACTCATACACAAAAAAAAAATAAGTCTTTTAACGAAAGAGTCAATAGAGTGACAATAATTAAACTACATATAAAATGTCATAATGAAACTTAGGACTTTGTATACCTTAAAAAATTTAAACATTTAGGAATTGGGGTGCCATTCAGTGGTAGAATGGTTATCTACCGTTTTTAAGATTCCAGGTTTCATCCCCACAAAAATAGAAAATAAGGGTAAATTAAATGTACATTGTCTGTTAAATTTATCCAAAGAAATGTCTGCACAATAAGCCAAGTATTTGTGCACAGTGGTATGCTTGTATTGCACCACTGTGGCATCGAGGAAAAGAGGACCAATTTAGAGATGTTTTGTAGATAGTGCTAGTTGCATACAGCATCATAGTATTCTTCTATTTGGAAGACTGACATGGGGCTGAGGAGATTGCACGGTTCACACGCATACACAAGGACCTCAGTTTAGAGCCCCAGAACCCTTAGGCCTGGCACGGTGCTGTGTCTGTAAACCTGGTGATGGGGAAATGAGAGGGAGGGACAGACAATGGAATCCCCGGGAGCTCACGGGCTGACTGGCCTGGCCTGTATGGTGAAGTTCAAGGCTATGAGAGACCCTATCTGAAAACAAACCAAAAGTGGAATGGGCTGGTGGTGGTGGCACATGCCTTTAATCCCCAACATTCGGGAGGCAGAAGCAGGCAGGCAGATCTCCATGAATTCGAGGCCAGTCTGGTCCACAGAGTGAGTGCCAGGAGAGGCTCCAAAGCTACACAGAGAAACTCTCTTGAAAAAAAAAATAATAAAAAGTGGAACATGCCTGAGGACACACACACACACACAGAGAGAGAAAGAAATGAATTATATGATAGCTTATGATGTATTTCCTCTAACTGAAAATGAAATTGCTTTCTCTATTTGTAGTAGGATGCCACTTTATAAAACAGTGGATGTTTGCCTGTGAATGGAAAATATTTAGGAATATTTCAAGGTCGGTTATATGCAGTCATTTAGTGTGTGTGACTTAAAGGGAATCCTCCTACCTCTCCATCCTGAATTCTTGGATTACAGGCATACTCCACTATGCCTAGATCACTTTTTATTGTACATGCATCTGAATGTTTTACCATTCTTAAGTGTTACTTGTATCTCTGTATGCATATTTTGTGTGTGTGTGTTCGAGTAGGGATTAAACCCAGAGTGTTTCTTACCATATTAAGCATACACTTTACCATTGAGTTACACCACAGCTAATTACTGACAGTTTAATCACAATGAGCTTGTGTAGCTCAAGATGGCTTGGAACTCACTATATAGCTGAGGGTGATCTTTGAAATCTCCTGATCCTCTTGCCTCTACTTTCCAATTATTGGGACTTCAGGCATGCGCTATTACACCAGGATTTAATTAAAAAGAAAACAGCCACCTCTTTAAGCTTTGCAGCAATTCTGAAAAAAAAAAGGGGGGGAACTACCTCATGACTAGATTCTGACATATACAATTGAGTCTTCATAATGTAAGAGGAAATGGAAAGTAAGTTGCAATTCTATCTCTAAAATCAACTATGGGATCCTCTTGTCCCTGTAGAAATTCTGGTAATTACTTCATTCTGCATGCTTCTTCCAAGGCTCTGACCATAAGGGGACATAGAGCCTGAGGAATTTGGAGCAGTCTATCTATCATGGGATGTATGCCAGGGGCAAGTGAGGTCATTAAGCCAGCCTTCTCTCTGAACACAACTACATCCATCATCTTCAAAGAATTCTTTTCTTAAGCATCACTAGAGAAAGCCCCACTAAATCCCCCTCTCTCTGTGACACATGCACACAATTGTATTATTTAATTGCTAAAATCACAGTTATGCTGTACACAACCTGCACATATAATGCACAAGTAACTAGCTAAATATCTCTCCTTTTATTAAAAGTAACCACCCACAAAATGCCTATATCTTTCATATTTTACATTATACATATTAATATTCATTCGTTCATTGATGAAGATACAGAACTTTGAATAGGAAGATCACAATTCATATATATATATGCATATATATGTTTATATATAACACATATACATATTATTATATATATATATAAACAATCTCTTCAGTGGTCCCTTCTCCCCTTTCCAAGGTTTTTGAAATCCCTTCTAGATTTTAGTCCCTAGAGATGCCTTAATTTCTTGTTAGTTCAGAAAAAAATGGGCTTGGGGCTGAGGATATGGCTCAGCAGTTAAGAACACTGGCTGCTCTTCCAGAGGACATGGGTTCAATTCCCAGCACCCACATCATAGCTCTTAATCTTGTCTAATTCCAGCTCCAGCGGTTCAGACACCCTCACAATGCATCCATGCAGGCAAAACACTAATGCATATATGATAAAAATAAATTTTGAAAAACAAACAGAAAAAAAACAAACAAACATGGGCCTTTAAGACCTAAATTACAGTGCTGAGGGGCATGGCTCAGTCAATATAGTGCTTGTATTGAGATCATCAAGACCTGAGTCCAATCCCCAGAATCCACGTGAAAAAGCTGGGTGTGGTGGATAATGTCTGAGGCTCCCCACTGACCTCTATGTTCACATGTTCTATGTCCACTAACCTCTGTGTTCATATGTAGTCACATGCATGTGAACTCGCACATGCATGTGTATCTGTACACGTACAAACAGAAAGAGGGGCCAGGCAGAGAGGGGCAAGGTGGCTCAGTGAACAAAGACACTTGCCACCAAGCCTGATGACCTGAGCTGGATCTCCAGAACCCACAGGGAATAGAGAGAGGAATTAATCCAGCTCATTGTCCTGACTTCCACGGTGCACAGTGGCATGTGTGCCTGTGCCCTACATACTATGTAATAAATAAATAGAAGCTTGTAAGAAGAGAATGGCCTAACCTGTAGTGTCTCACTATGACCCAGAAAGAAACTTTCCTCCAACAAAGTGTAGAATGGTTTTAGAAGTTTAGAAGAAGTCAGGCTTGTAGTGCAGACATAGCCATCTTCAAGAACTGCACACAAACAATATCTAAAATGGCATCCAGAACCCCAGCCAGCTAGATGTGGTGGTTCATATGCCGGTCTGGGGACAAACGGGGCTATAGCAGAACAGTGGACAGGCTGGTTTCTATTTGTCCTGGAGCCTGTCCCTACAGCTCTGCTACACTTCCTCCTGGGCAGTGAAGGTGTTTTGAAAATAGTGGGAACCGAGGAGAAAAGGGAGTGGAAGTCTCCCCATGTTTTGTGCTATGCATTGATTTGCTTTATTTAATGGTCGGATTAATTGAGTTAGCAGGCTCCATGTGAACCTTTAATAGGGAGGCATTTGAGTAGCTGTACAGCCAAGCCTATATGGCCAGGGTCCAATGTATGTTCTTGGCACATGGGGACTGTGACAGACTAGGGTCTAAAAAGGTGCAGGTGACCTGCCAGGAACACTGTGCTACTCCTTGGAGGCACAGCAGTTGTCACAAGGTCTTAGGATGGTGAGAAAGAAGGCTGGGTAGCTAATAGGTACTGGTAGCCCTGCCCCAGCCCTTACTGCAAGTTCTCCCATGGTAGGGATGTTGGGCAAAACACGTTACCATGTGTAGCAAGGAATTGGTCTGATGCCAACTCTGGTTTACCCACTTCCTCTTGGTGTCACCTTCCTAACTGGCCCCCACCAGTGCAAGGAATGACAGTATCTCCCTGCTTGTCTGTACAGGAACAAGTACAGCCATGTACCTTAAACTTGTAAGTACTGTTTTCAAGATCATGGCAGGCAGGGAACTGTTTCCTACGCCTTGCCGGTCTGTTCCACAGGTAGAACTTTGTTGAGTTGATATACATGTTGGCTTTCATGGGCCAGTGGTGCCACACGAACACAACCACAACACACCTGGGAAAGTAACCAACAACCTTTTTTTTTTTTTCTTTTTTCCTCCAGTTAAGGGAAACACATCTGTCACCGACTCTTTAGAAAGATTGTACAAGTCGGGACCTGTGGCTACGGTGTTGTTGGCCTTGAGGATGTTGTGGGTGTTGTTCTTTTGTTACAGTTATAAGAATAAAAGCTGGAGAAGGGGTGGGGGTGGTCCCGAGTGAGGGTTCCAAGTGAGTGGGGTCCCAAGGTAAGGGACCACGTGGGAGAGCGTAGCAGGTTGCATAGCTGACGAGGGTGACCGAGACGGGAGGGAATAACACGCCAGGCAGATAAGAGCTTAAATGAGGAGTGTATATAGAAAGGGGAGTGAGGGAGAAGGGAAGAGACATAGAGGCACCGGGAACAGAAGAAGAAAGAAGGGGAGAGAGGGGGGAAGAGAAGAAGAGGGTGATAACTGATGACCAACCAAAAGCAGAAGAGAGAGAGAGAGACAGAGAGAGGAGAGAAAGCAAAAGAGAGTGTAAGTGGGCAGGGGTCTGTCTTTTAAAGGGGTCCTTTACACCTGCCTGCTGACTAGTACTCATGGAACCCTGAGCTGACCAGGGTACTGCCTGAGTGCATTCTGCCAGGTGACAGGGTCAGGCCAGCGTAATGCCTGAATCCTTACAGCGGGAACAGGCTCAGAGGTCAGGTAAAGCCATAATTGGAATTTGGGCCTCCTGTGTTCCACTGAGTGGTGGTGACAGTCACTAGGGATCTGAGAGGGTTGTTGTTGATTTTTTAAAATAAAAAATTGTATTTACTTAGAAGCATTCAGAATGTCAAGAGAACAGCTGCACTTATTTATTTGTTTATTTTTTGCAGTTACAGAGTGGTATTCAGTTAAGGAAACAGCAATTATCTCTGTATATGCTGCATCAGAGACAACAGAAGATGAGGAAAAAAACAAAACAAAACAAAACAAAAAAAAAAACTCAAACTACTGCCACCATAAATAACTAATTTGTACTGTATACCAACAAGAACCTGATTTGAATTTCCATGGCAGTTTACAGCCTCCCAGGCTGTACCAGGCAAGGTTAGTAACTATTGAAAATGCCAACAGGACAGGGCTATCTAAAGACGTATAGACATATTCTGTAGTGTGCTGACTATACAAAAAAAAAAAAACCTTGTACAGTTTAAAAAAACAAATCTTACACAGCCTTATGTTTCATTTTTTTTCCTTAAAAGGAGTGAATTGTGTACTGGGGGTGGGTGGGTTAGATGTTTTCTATACAAGAAAAAAATTTTCGGGAAAACCAACTTATTCATCTTCCTCCTCCTCCTCACCTTCCTCTTCCTGCTCTTTTCAGCCTTGATCGCTCTCTCCACTGCACCGGGTTTTTCTTTAGCTCCGCAGGCAGCAATTTCCTTTCCATGTTTTCAGCGCGGCAGCCTTCTTTTCCTAGGCTTACTGCAGTGTTGTTTCATCTCTCTCGAAGTTTCTTTGCAACATCACCAGTGGACAAGCCAGGGGGCGATAGTCAGAACAGAACAAGAAGGAGTGCCGAAGGAGGCTTGGGCCCACTAAGGTCCTTGAACTTCTTCTTGGTGTTCCCTTGGGGGGGGGGGGATGTAGGTTTTCATTTCTCTTTCATAATGAGCTTCGTCGGACTTTGCCATATCTTCACATTTCCCATTCTTTAGCAGAAATGGTCTTCTGCCTCTCGGAGCACTTCTTAGAGAAGCTGGACGAGCTGACAGAAGCACTCAGGTTTCTTCTTGTGTTCCTCCCATCAAGCCTGCACAAATGCATATGACGGCATTTTGCCTCTCAGCTTCTTAGGATCTTCTTTGCCCAAGTCAGTCAATTTTCTTCCCTGGGGCACAGAGTTGCCTAGTGCAGGTCTGACTTACTTGCTCGCTGTGGACTTTTTGTTTTTGAGACAGGGTTTCTCTGTGTAGCTCTGGACGCCCTGAAACTTGCTCTATAGACCAGGATGGCCTCAAACTCACAGAGACCTGCCTACCTCTGCCTTCCAAGTGCCGGAATTAAAGGACTGAGCCACCACTGCCCAGCTTCCCCCCACCCCCTTGGCTTTTGAAACAGAGTTTCATGGTAGCCAAGGCTGGCCTTGAACTCGCTGTCCTCCTGCCTCAGGCTGGGATTACAGACTACTAAAGTTGGCTGAGATTTTATAACTGAACTTGTATGGTATTCCAGAAGCATTAAATGACTTTTCTGTGAGCCTCCTAGGATTCAGTCCACCAACATTGTGGACCAGATGATGTAGATAAGTTGTCTGGCTGTCTTGTTGGCCAGGGTTCACCATGCTTCTGAAACATCTTTCATTTTCTGGCTTTTTCATAGCCAGGCATTTGGGGGACTTTAGCATCATCTGGAGATTTACAAAAGAAAATCCTGGGATGGAGAGAGGGAGAGGGAGGGGAAGAGGGAGGAAGAGAGAGGGGGTGTTAAGAGCAAGGTCTGCTCTTGTTGAAGACCTAGGTTCCATTCCCAGTACCCACATGGTGTGTCACAACCATGTATAATTACAGTTCATGATTCATAGACTTACATGCAGGTAAAACATTCATACACATAAAATAAGTAACATTTAAAGTATTAAAAATGTACAGTTATCATAGAAGTTGTGACTTCATTGGTCTGGTGTACATTCTGGGCCAAGGATGAACTCCTAATATACATTTGACAATTTCTGAAGCAGACGACCTAGTGTTTTGGCTCTTCTAAATAGGTGCCCATCCCTTTACCACAAAACTTCATAGCAGCCAATCTCATTAAAAATTAAAAAAAAAGTGGTGGGGAAGAACAGGGGAGGTTGGACATAGTTGTACATACCTGTAATCTCAACACTTGGGAGGTGGAGGCAGAAGAATCAGGACTTCGAGGTCATCCTTACCTATAAGTGAGTTAGAGGCAGCCGAGGCTGCATGAGATCCCATCTCAAAAACCCCAAAATAAGAAAAAAATAGAGAGAAAAGGGAAACAAAGAGAAAGACAATAAAAAAATACTCACAAAGATATGAATCTTTAAGATTCTGCTAGCCCACTTGGGCTACCAGAAAGTAAATGGAGCCCTGATCCAGGACCTTCCAGTCCACCCTCTACAAGAGTCACCTTGTGTTTACTTTTTAAGGTTCCTTGTTGTTACTATGCTGTTTTGTTTTAGACAAGGGCCTTACCTTGTAGGGAACTAAGCATGGCCTTGCACTCCTAACCCCACCCTTTGTTAACTGAACTGCATCCCCATCCCGGGTGTTAATTTTGAGGCAAAGTCTTGCTATTTAGCCCAGGCTAGCCTCAGAACCCCCGAGTACTGAGTTCTGAAATGTATAGCTAGCCTGGACATAATTAACAGTTGGCAGAACTTTGACACGAAGTCCTTTTCCTCTAGAAAAAAAGATATTGTAACAGAAGAGGACAGAGGGAAGCCTCAGTTCTAATCAGTATAGTATATGAAAACATCACTAGAAAGACTCTGGAATGAAACACAAAAGGCAAACAGCTGAAAAACACCAGCATGATCCAGATGTGCATCAAGATCACATATCCTAGGAAAGCATAACTAACATCTCAGGGGAGGAGAGGGAGAAACTCTATTTTAATTCATTGAACGTTGACACCATCTTCAAATATTTGAAGAGTTCTGTGATCGATTGCCACTATCACTCCATTTAACTGAGCATGGATTACCATAGACGACAGTGGACTACTGTAAATAGCCGTGTAATGGACACTACTGCATCTCTGTGTTGGAGTAGAAGCCTGAAATCTTTGGTGCAACATTTGGAGCACTGTTGGAGTAATGCATTATTTTCCATGTCACTCAAGGACAGTCTGAAGCAGTTTGCACCCAAGTGGAACCAACAACAGTACCAATGAATGGCGCTGCCTCTGTCAATGCCTCATTAATTCACCTCCGAAAGCTGGTCCAGTCTCTTTCTCCTGGTTTTTCCAGACAGGGTTTCCTCTGGGTAGCCCTGGCTGTCCTTGAACTTGCTTTGTAGCCCAGGCTGACCCTGAGCTCACAGAGTGCTGGATTCATCACCCAGCTGTGAATGTGCATATCTGATATGTAGGATATCTGATATACAACCCCTGGGAAAGGGTTATTTGGCTCCAAAGGGGTTGAGACCCACAGGTTGAGAATAACAGAAGCTAAAGGAAATAATTCAGGAGATCTGTATGTAGCAAACTTTGTCTACCCCCCCCAGTAAAAGCCCTTTACATTATGCATTTCTTTTGAAGATCATATCATAGGTGGACAAAATCTTGCTTTGTATTATACATAGGTTA